AGATTTTCCAGCATCTGCAGGTCCTACTATCTCAGAGACAATAAGGGGTCAGTTTTACTCATGGAGATTTGAGAGCCTTTGGGAATCTCTTCCTCAAAGGGCAGGGGAAGCAGAGACTTTGAATATTTTTAAGCTCAGAAAAAGATACATTCTTAAGACCATAAGACCATAAGACATTGGAGCAGAAATTAGGCCATTCAGCCCATCGAATCTACTCTGCCATTCAATCATGGCTGTTAAGTTCCTCAACCCCATTCTCCCACTTTCACCCCATAACCCTTGATACCCTTGATAATCAAGAACCTATCTATCTCAGTCTTAAATGTACTCAATGACTTGATAACCAAGGGGGTGAGAGGTTATTAGGGGTAGGCAGGAATGTGGAGTAATCAGATCAGTGATGACCTTATTGACAGCAGAGTAGACTCAAGGGGCCGAATGGCCTACTCCTGCACCTAATTTGCATGCTCAGATACCATTTCAGAATGCAGCTTAGAGTCAACCACATTGCTGTGGGTCTGGAGTCACATGTAGACCAGAGATAGTAGGAACTGCCGATGCTGGAGAATCTGAGATAACAAGGTGTAGAGCTGGATGAACACAGCAGGCCAAGCAGCATCAGAGGAGCCGGAAAGCTGATGTTTCAGGTCTAGACCCTTCTTCAAAAATGGGGGAGGGTCCAGACCCGAGACGTCAGCTTTCCTGCTGTGGTCAATTGTTTCAAGTTATCATTAATGAGACTAGTTTTCAAATCCCGGAAATGGAATCCCTACAGTGTGGGGACAGGCCATTCAGCCCACCGGGTCCACACCAACCCAGTGATGAGCATCCCACCTAGACCCAGCTCTACCCTATAGTACTGCATTTCCCACAGCTAATCCACCTACCCTGCACATCCTTGGATACTATGGGGCAATGTAACATAGCGAATCCACCGAACCTGCACATCTTGGGCTATGGGAGGAAACCGGAGCACCCGGAAGAAACCCACATAGACACAGAAAGAATGTGCAAACTCCACGAAGACAGTCATCTAAAGCTGCAATCAAACCTGGGTCCCCGTGCGATGAGGCAGGAGCGCTAACCACTGAGCCATCATGCCACCCATACAATGGGGTGTAATAAGATGTAATAATTAATTCAAGTTCCACCAGGTGCCTCTGGGGGATTCAGACCTATGTCCCTACAGCATTAATCTGGGCCTCTCCAGTTTATTAGCATTAGAGGCTGGGGTTTCAAACGAACGTTTCAAAGCTGAGATAGATGGGTTTATGTTTGGCTGAGTTTTAATGGAAATTAATATGACAACTGCAGGCGAGATACAGATAAGCTTCAAAGTAATATTGGACTCCAAAGATTTTTCTCTCTCCACAGGTGTTGTATTTCTGCTTTTTAAAAAAACTTTCTGCTTTGTTTTATTTCAGATCTCTAGCAACCACAGTCGTTTGTTGTTATCTAATTGCGTGGTAATGTCTCTTCCAATTGTCCGTCCTCTGGGAATATGGACGATGGGAGACAGGCAAAAGCTACTATTTGGCTGGGAAACGGCGTGACAATCAGAACAGAAGGATCTTAAATTAGCCAGTTAGAAAATTGTAATGCATCTTTATCTCATGCTTTCAACGATTGTGTGTGTGTGCTAGTTAAGCACAAGTCATTCCTACGTAAGAGGAAAGGACAGAGAGAGAGAGGTGAGATCTAGAAGCTGGAATCTGAAAATATAAATCAAGCAGGCTCTTCGAAGCGAAGAGAGGCTGGTTACTTCTGATCTGTGCGAGAGAGCTAACGTGCAAAGGAATTCTCAACAGGCAGCCTACCACAAGTAAGTGTTTCTTTTTCGGAAAAAAAAACTATTTTTAAAAGTTACTCAAAGCAGTCAGTAGCTGATCAATTTCAGCCTCAGTTAAATGTGAGTCGCCCACTAATCTCTAAAAAACTAATTGTTTTTTTAATGATTTTGTTTCTGTGTGGAGTCACTCCCAGTCAGCATCGTGAAGCTTGTAAATAAATATTATTTGCGTCCTGTGGAAAAAAAAATGGCACGCTTTATTCAATTAATTATTTATAATCGGGAGAGTGTTGGATACAATGTGTGGGAATGAGAATTTAGGAACACTTTATGCTTTGGAGAGTGGACATCCTTTTCATTGAATGCTGGAAATGAATTTTGCTACAAGCAGGACTGTGGCATGGACCAAATTGAATTATTCGATTGAAGGAGAAGTGGGGATTGTGGAGTACAGATGTCAAGCTGTACTAACTCATTTTTTTTTTGTTTTTCTTTTATTCACTCGCGGGGTGTGGGCTGGACCAGCATTTATTGGCCATCCCCAGTTGCCCCTTGAGAAAGTGGTGGTGGAGCCGTCATTTTGAACCACTACAGCCCACCTCCTGCGGCTTGACCCACGCACAAGCTTTGTAGCAGAGGACAAGTCTTTCCAATGATCCTGTCCCCGTCCCCGTCCCCACCCTCAGCCTCAGCCTCAGCCCCACTTATATAAAAAAAACGCAGGCCCAGTTGGGTGCCAATTTACAACAACAACTTGCACTTGCGTAGCATCCCATCCCAAGTAGCTCCGCAGCAATGCTAGCAAACCAGGTTTGACATGGAGCCTGAGGAAAGCGTTCTGAGTACAGGTCCTTATCAAAAGAAGCTCATTCAGTTGTCTGCAAGGAGGAGTGAGATGAGGATCAAGGTCCCAGGCAGCTGAAGGCAGGGACCCCAATGGTAGAGCAATTGAAATCAGGAGTACAAAAGGGGCCATGATCGGAGGAGTACAGAGACCGCGGAGGGTTAATGGAGCAGTAGCGAAATCTGAGTCACATTGTGAAACTTACAAATGCATCCCTGTAGAATCCATCTTAAAGGGCTGCAATTAATTGCGAAAACTCCCTGTCCAAAATCCCAATCAAGCCCCTCATCATTTGAAATCGAAGTTCTGGGAGTTTTATAGTGAATGTATGCATTAGGCAGTGTTACAGCATTATATTACACTTTATTTAAATACATAGAAAATTCTGAGGAGGATTGGCGAGTGGATACTGAAAGGACATTTAGTCTCATGGGCAAGTCTGGATCTGGGGCACAGTTTCAAAATCCAAATTCTCCCCCTTGATGCAGAAATGAAGAGAATTCCTGCTGAGAAGGTGATTAGTGCTTGGAATTCTTTTCCACAGTGGAGAATCAGTAACAGACAATGGGAGCAGCAGTGGTTAGCACAACAGCCTCACAGCGCCAGGGACCTGGGTTCGATTCCATCCTCGGGCGACTGTCCATGCAGAGTTTGCACATTCTCCCCGTGTCTGTGTGGGTTTTCTCCAGGCGCTCCGGATTTCCTCTCGTTGGACATCCCATCCAAAGATGTGCAGATTTAGGTGGCTTGGCCATGCTAAATCGCCCATAGTGTCTAGGGATGTGAAGGTTAGCCATTGGAAATGTGAGGTCACAGGGATCGGGTAGGGGTGTGGTCTGGGTGGAATGCTCTTCGTAGGGCCAGTGTGGACTCGATGGGCCAAATGGCTTGTTTCCACACTGTAGGGATTCTATGAATACACCCAAGGTTGAATTAGACAGATTTTTGCTTGTTAAAGGGTAAAGACAAGAGCATGGGAGTAAGGCCATATCAGACATGATGTTATTGACTGATAGTGCAGGCTTGATGGACTGAATGGCCTGCTTTTGCTCCTATTTCTTATGTATTCTTCAGCCTGGAGACAGTGCAAATTGTCCAACGATAACAAGGGTGGGATGGAAGGGCTGGGGGTCAGACACCCGAGCTACCAGCATGAGTGCAATGAAGTCAGGAATATTGCTGAGGGATAAAGCAACCGGTTTCATGAAAGCTTTTGAGGTTATTGTGACTACAGATAAACCCAAGCCAAGTAAATAATCTGTTTCAACTGTAAGTGTTAAATACCAGCTGGGACACAAACTCAGAAGGTGAATAAACAATGCAGATTCAGTAAATACTGCAGGGGAGACAAGACTATCCAGCAAGATAGTGTCTGCATAACCAATAGAATAGTGATTCTCTTTTATTGCTGAAACCCGGAAGAGGTAGAGAGCAGCTACAATTATATTAGTATGTGGACCAGGCTCGGGAGAACCTCTGATTTTACTGCACTCAGAACAGCACTACAGACGCCGTTCTGCTGATCTTACCTCTCCTGACTCTTTGAAAGAACTGTGAAAATAGTCCCATAGTTCCCCCACAGCCCTGCAATTTTCTTGAGATAGTAGGAACTGCCGATGCTGGAGAATCTGAGACAACAGGTGTAGAGCTGGATGAGGCCAAGCAGCATCAGAGGAGCAGGAAAGCTGACGTTTCGGGTCTAGACCTTTCTTCAGAAATTTTCTTTCTCCTTTTCAAGTATATGGCTGAGGCCCTTTATGGAAGTGACTATAGAATTTGCTTCCACCACGTTAGACAGTGCATTGTTGTAACAGAAAACTGATTAGGGGATGGTTTCTTCTGGCATTTAAGTTTTGTCATAAATGTGGCGCTTGGGGCAAATGCTAGCAAAGTTGTTGGCATGTTTTCAAACAAAGGTTTAGCTGCAAGTAATGACCAGAGGAAATATTCTTGTTGGTACGTCAAGTTTCAGTCATGCATTCAGATAGAACATGCCTGACTTCTATATCAGAACCATGTACCTGCCTCACTCCATATCCCCAGATATCCCTAACTGATGAAAATCTCTTGATCCCTCTCTTGCAAATATTCACAGCCTGTTTTTTTTTCAAGGGAGGTGCGGGAGTGAATCCCGATTCCTATCCTAAATGGCGCGGTCCTAATTTAAATACGATATCCCACATTTTTGATCTTCTCATGAAGGGAAACAGTTTTGGTTTATCTATTCTATTTAGAACATAGAACATAGCACAGTACAGGTCCTTCTGCCCACGATGTTGTGCCGAATTTTTACCCTAAACCTAAGGTCTATCTAACCTCCATTGCTACCTTATACTATAATCCATATGGCTATCTAATAGCCGCTTAAATGCCCCTAATGAGGCCGACTCCACCACCCTCTCCGGCAATACATTCCACGCCCCTACCACTCTCTGAGTAAAGAAGCTACCTCTGATGTCTCCCCTATATCTACCTCCTTTCACTTTAAAACTATGTCCCCTAGTAAAAGCTACCTCCACCCTAGGAAAAAGTCTCTGGCTGTCTACTCTATCTATACCTCTGATCATTTTGTACACCTCTATCAAGTCACCTCTCATCCTTCGTCATTCAAAAAAGAAAAGCCCTAGCTCTCTCAATCTTTCCTCGTAAGACCTTCCCTCCATTCCAGGCAACATCCTGGTAAATCTCCTCTGCACCTTTTCCAACGCTTCTGCATCTTTCCCGTAATGAGGTGACCAGAACTGGACACAATACTCCAGATGTGGCCAAACCAGGCTTTTGTATAGCTGGGGCATAACTTCACGGCTCTTGAACTCAATCCCTCTATTAATGAAAGCTAACACACCATACGCCTTCTTAACAACTCTATCCACCTGGGTGGCAGCTTTCAGGGAACTGTGAACGTGAACCCCAAGATCCCTCTGCTCCTCCACACTGCCAAGAATCTTTCCATTAACTCTGTATTCTGCTTTCAAGTTTGTCCTTCCAAAATGAATCACCTCTCACTTTTCAGGGTTAAACTCCATCTGCCACTTCTCAGCCCAGCTCTGCATCCTATCAATGTCCCTTTGTAACCTAGAACAGCCCTCCCCACTGTCCACAACGTGACCCACCTTCGTATCGTCCACGAACTTACTAATCCACCCTTCCACTCCTTCATCCAAATCATTTACAAAGATCACAAATAGAAGAGGACCCAGAACAGATCCTTGTGGTACACCACTCGTAACTGAGCACCATGTTGAATATTTTCCATCCACTATCACCCTTTGTCTTCTAGGGGTCAACCAATTCTGAATTCAGTCTGCCACATTTTCCCCATCCCACGCCTCCTTACCTTCTGCATGAGCCTGCCATGGGGAACCTTATCAAATGCCTAAAATTTAATGTTTTGAAAATTTAAACACCTCAAATAGAGAGCCTCTCGGGCTTTTATACTCTAGGGCAACAAGTTCTTGTCCTCATCATTTAACCCTTTGTTTCCCTGTACCTTAGCGGTAGTGTCTGCAGGTTTATAATCCAGAGGCTCAGGCTGACGGTCTGTGGAAATGGGTTCAAATCCCACCACAACAGTTGGGGGAATTTGACTTCCATTATGGAGAGCCAGTTAACATTGATGGCAGCCATGAAACTACCAACAGTTGTTGCTGTTGTTGTCGTAAAACCTGATTTGCTAAAGCCTGCCCTGCAGGTGACTCCAGGCTCACAGTAATGTGAACCCAAAGAACTGCGGATGCTGTAAATCAGGAACAAAAACAGAAGTTGCTGGAAAAGCTCAGCAGGCCTGCTCTGACCAAGGGTCGCCGGACCCGAAACATTAACTCTGATTTTTTTGTTCACAGATGCTTCCAGACCTGCTGAGCTTTTCCAGCAACTTCTGGGATAGTCAGATTGGCAGAGGAAGCCAGGAGGAAGAATTCACAGAGAATATTCAGGACATTTTCCTAGAACAATATGTTGTGAATCCAGCCAATGATCAGACTATTATAGATCTGGTGGTGTATGATGAGGCAAGTTTAATAACTGATGTCAGTGTAAAACATCCTCATGGAAATAGCGACCATAACATGGTAGAATTGAGCATTCGGTTTGAGAGGGAGGAACTTGGTTCGGAACCAACTGTGCAGAACTTAAATGAGAATAATTACAAGTAAATTTAGTGAAAAGCTGGCTGGAGTGGACATGGAAAAGGGTTTAACAGCAAAGATGGTTAAGGAACAATGGCAGACATTTAGGAAAAATAGCTCATGGCTCACCACAAAGAAATATTTCAGTGAGACAGAAGGATTTCAGGAGGGGGTTAAGGCAACCAAAGTTAACCAGGTAAGTCAGGGATAGAATCAAATTAAAATTTAAAGCATACAATGTGGCAAAGATTAGAGATAAGCCAGAGGATTTGGGAAAGTTTTAAAAACCAACAAAGAGCAATCAAGGAAATAATAAAGAGGGAGAGGATAAACTTTAAGATGGACAGCAAGAACTTCTTTAAAAATATAAGAAGGAAGAGAGAGACCAAAGTTAATGTGGGCCCTTCGAGAATGAGACTGGGAAACCAGAAATGGCAGAGGAGTTAATAAATACTTCACAGCAGAAGATATTAATAGAATTCCAAAATTACAAAATATTCAAGGAGCAAGAGGAAGAGAGGAAATAAATACGATAAATATCACCAGAGAAGAGGTGGGCTAATGGGATGCATCTTAGGATATTGAAATTAGTAGCTATAGAGATAATACTTGAACTGGTATCAATCTTCCAAGAATCCTCAGAATCTGGAAAAGTCTCTGAGGTTTGCTGAATACACTACTTTTGTTTATTTAAGCAGGGAAGGAGACAAAAACTAGTAAGTAAAGGCCACTTAGTCTAATGTCTGCTACTGGGAAAATGTTAGATTATTGAATCACTACATTGCAGATAGAGACCATCTGGCCCATCTGCACTGACTCTCCGCAGGGCATCCCATCCTATCCCTGCATTTCCAATAGCCAATCCACCTAACCTGCACATCTTTGGGCTGTTGGAGGAAACCTCACGCAGACACAGGTAGAACATGCAAACTCCACCCAGACAGTCAGCTGAGGGTGAGATCGAACGTGGGGTTACTGGTGTTGTGAGGCAGCAGTGCTAACTACTGAACCACCATTCTGCCCATAAATCATAAAGGATGTAGTAGTAGAGCATTTAGTAATACAAAATCTATTCAAGTAGAGTCAGCATGGCTTCACGAAGGGGAACTTTTTATTTCCCCTTTATTCATTTGTGGAATGAGGAAGTCACTGACCAGGCAGCATTTATTGCCCATCAGGCAATTTAGAGTCAACCACATTGCTGTGGGTCTGAAGTCACATGTAGGCCAGACCAGGTAAGGATGGCAGTTTCCTTCCCTAAAGGACATTAGTGAACCAGATGGATTTTTCCTGATGATCGACAATGGGTTCACGGTCGTCATTAGATTCTTAATTCCAGATATTTTATTGAATTCAAATTCCACCATCTGCCATGGCGAGATTACAAACATGGGTCCCCAGAGCATTATCTGGGTCTCTGGATTAACAGTCCAGTGATAATACCACTAGGCCATTGCCTCCCCTAGAAATAATGCCTTACAAATTTATTAGAATTCTTTTGAGGAGTTTACAAGCAGGATAAATAAAGATGAAGCAGTGGCTGTAATGTATTTGGATATCCAGAAGGTATTTCATGAGGTAAGACATTAAAGGCTACTTCATATGACAAGACCCCATGGAACTGGAGGCATCATATTAGCACGGATAGAGGATTGGCTAACTAATAGAAAACAGATCGTTGGGAAAAAGGGGACATTTCCAGGATGCCAAACTGCAGCTAATGAAATGCCACAAGAATCAGTGCTGGAGAAATAATGATTAAAATATAGTTTGATGACTTCCACACAAGAGATCAGTAAGGAAAATTAAAGCTCACGATATCGGAGGAGAAATATATTTAACGTATGGATAGAGAACTGGTTGGCAGACAGGAAGCAAAGAGTTGGAATAAATGAGCCCTTTGCAGAAAGGCGGGCAGTGGGGTAGTGGGCAGTGAGGAGTGGGGTACTGCAGGGGTCAGTGCTGGGACACCAGCTGTTCACAATATGCATTAATGATTTGGATGAAGGAATTGAATACAATATCTCCAAATTTGCAGATGACACTCAGCTGGGTGATAGTGTGTGCTGTGAGGAGGATGCTAAGAGGCTAGAGGGTGATTTGGACAGACTGGCTGAGTGGGTAAATACATGGGAAATGCAACATAATGTGGGTAAATGTGAGATTATCCACTTTGGTCACAAACACAGGAAGGCAGATTATTATCTGAATGGTGGCAGTTTAGGAGAAGGTGAGGTGCAGTGAGACCTGGGTGTCATGGTGGACAGTTGCTGAAGGTTGGCATGCAGGTGCAGAAGGCAGAGAGGGAAGCTAATGGCATGTTCTCCTTCGTACTGAGTATCAGAGTCAGGATGTCTTGCTGCAGTTATACAGGGCCTTGGTGAGGCTACACCTTGAGTATTGTGTGCATTTTGGTCTCCTGGTCTGAAGAAGGACTTTCTTGTTATTGAGGGAGTCCAGTGAAGGTTCACCAGACTGATTCCTGGGACGGCAGGACTGACACGTGAAGAAAGACTGAATTGGTTAGGCTTGTATTTGCCGGAATTTAGAAGAATGAGGGGGGAGTCTCATAGAAACATATAAAATCCCAATGGGACTGGATAGGCTAGATGCAGGAAGAGTCTACAACTCGAGGGTATGATCTTAGAATAAGTGTACGCATATGTAAGACAAAGATGAGGAGGAATTTCTTCCCTAATGGTAGTGAATCTGTGGTATTATTTACCACAGACGGGTGCAGAGACTGGTTATTAAATGTATTCAAGGCTGAGATTGACAGATTTTTAATCAGTAAGGGGATCAAAGGTTATGGAGAAAGGCTGGAAAGTGAAGTTGAGCTTTGAGATCAGCCATGATTATGTTGAAAAGCAGAGCAGACATGATAGCCTGAATGGCCTCTTTCTACTCCTTTGCTTCATCGTCTGTCAGCAATGCCCACATCCCATTAGAATAATATAAATAATCATTCTGCTGAATCTGTCCTTCGTCTCTGCCTGCCTCCAAAGTCAATGTAACCTTCCTGAGAAGCAACGTCTGAAACTGGAGACAGTGACTCCAAACATAATCTGACCAAACCTCTTTATAACAATTGCAGCTATAGGAAGTGAGTGGTGTTCTCATGATTCCATGTCATTACCAGGCTCTTTGGAACCAGTGGAGCATTCCTGATCTACTCTCCCATAATCTGGTGCCTTGATTTCATGGGAAAGTCCAAATTAAATGTACAGAATTGTAATTATCGATTTTTAACAAATAGAGATGCCTTTAAAAGTGAAAGGCGGGAGGTTTAGAAGGGTTTTGAGGAAAAACATTCTCACCCAGAGCATGGTGGGGGATCTGGAATGCACTGCCTGGGAGGGTAGTTGAGGTGGATTAAAAAGTACTTGGATGAGCAATTGAGGTTTCATAACATTCGAGGCCTAGTACTGGAAAATGTAAATCAAAGTATATTTATGGTACTACAGATTCGATGGGCTGAAGGGCCTCTCCTGTACTGCATGATTCCAATATTTTTGGACTGACTAAAAGATAGATGCATGAGAGAGAGTGGAAGTATCTCACTGATTATGGAGAACTTTGATTCAGCATCAACCATTTTCTTTCTTCAACCTTACATAATTCACTTTTAATATACGAACATATTAAAATTCCTCATGCCAAATAATTTATATATCATCAGAAAGAAACTGCATTTTTATATTATCTTTTAAATGTCTTGGGTTATCCCAAAGCTCCTTACATTCAATACTTTTGAAGTATGGTCCCTGTTGTAAAGTAGGAAATGTAGCAATTACAAGTAAACTCTCACAAACAGCAATGTAATAAATGGCCAGGTAATGTTTTACTTTGTGTTATTTGAGAGATATGTGTAAACAGGGAGAACTGATGGCCCAGTGGTTAACACCTGGGTCCTTGGATTAACAGTCCAATGCCCTGGGGACCTGGGTTCAAATCCCACCACAGTAGATGATGGGAAGCTACAACTATAAATTCTGGGATTTAAATTCAGATGATTGAATTTCAATTGAATAAAAATCTGGGATTAAGAGTCTAATGATGGCCATGTAATGATTGTTGAGGGGTGGAGGAAATCCATCTGGTTCACTTCAGGGAAGGAAATCTGCCATCCTCATCTGGTCTATCCTACATGTAACTCCAGACCCACAACAAAGTGGTTGACTCTTAACTGCCCTCTGGGCAATAAATCCTAGCCTAGCCAGCGATGCCCTCATCCTGTGAATGAATGAATTTAAAAAAAAAAGAACAGGGAGAGAAATTCCCATGTTCTTCGGCAAATGTCTTTTGTCATTCACCTTAGAGAGCCTTGGTTTAATACCAAGTCTGGATCAGAGGGTACATTGGAGGGGTTAATAAGCAAAACCTGGGAACTCTGGGAGGGCCATTGTGCCCTGACTCAAGGGTGCAGGATCATTGCAGGGAGGGCAGGCCACTATGCTAAGGCCAGAGTCAAGACCAGGACCTGTCATCTCCGTCCCTAGAACTGGTTTAACAACTCCTCCAATAAATTTCATCCAATATTTACATGTCATACCCATAATATTATTATACAGACATGTCTTAAATTCCATGCATGACTGGTAGCTTGCTCATATTACATGCATAGGAGAAGTGGGGAATGGCACTGACTGAATTATTCATATGGAGAGCAAGTGCAGACACGATGGGCCAAATGGCCTGTTTGTGCAGTGGAACAATTTCACATGTTTCCTTTCTGTAGCATTCATAGAATCATAGAATCCCTAAAGTGTGGAAACAGGCCCTTCAGCCCAACAAGTCCACGCCGACTCTCAGAGCATCCCACCCAGACCCATCCCCCTATAACCCACCTAACCTGCACATCTTGGGACTGTGGGAGGAAACCGGAGCACCTGGAAGAAACACATGCAGACATGGGGAGAATGTGCAAACTCCACACAGACAGTAGAATCAAACCTGGGTCCCTGGCGCCGTGAGGCAGCACCCCTAACCAGTGAGCCACCATATTCAGGATCTTAACTGATGCCAAATCCATGATGTTGTCTTTCTCTACAGATCAGATTCAGGATGTTCAGTCAGAGCTTCGTGATGCTGTCAATTCTCCTCCTCATGTCCTTTGTGTCGTTGAAAGCTCACGAGGTCAAAGGTGAAAGGTTTGTGAGCAGCTACAGCAACAAGAAAAGCACAGCCAAGATGGCAGAGGAAGAAATGAATCAACTGCTGGCTGTAAGAATCCTTGATCCAAGTCTCGGGACCCCCATGGCAGCTGAGGGAAGCAACTGGTCACCTGACCGCTCACACGTCAAACGTAAAGACCCTGTGATGGGCCGTTCCCATAGCAAGGTGACCTATTGGCCCAGAAGGACATTCACCTTGCCGTTCCAGTACACCTTTGATGTGCAGAGGGGAAGGGAGATGTTGCTGTCCAGGAGGAATAGCAAGGACACCAGGTTCTCCCTGTCCCTGGATGTGCCCACCAACATCCTCAGCATCCTCATTGACCTCGCCAAGGCTAAAGATATGAGGGCAAAAGCTGCTGCAAATGCTGCATTGATGGCACAGATTGGAAAATGACCAAAAGAAAAATTAACTCAAATCCAAAGTATGGCTTTTTGTTCATATTCTTACTATTTATTGTGTGATACACACATTAAATCTATTCTTGAAACCTGCCAGCACTTCTCGTGGGATTTTTTTTCTTTGCATTTTACTCTGTTTATTGGATACAGGGCAAGATTTATTTAGCTTTACTGTTCTTAGATGCTTCACATGAACTTTGTCAAACACAATTTGATATTGATCCACCTAAGGAAACATCAGGGCAGGTGACTTAAAGCTCATTCAAAGAGGTACTTTTTGAGAAATTTCTTTGGAGAAGGAGAGAAAGGCAGAGAGATCTATTGGCTCAGGGGAAGGGGTAGAATTCTAAAGCTTAGGGCCAAAGTAATTGGAAGCATGGATTCTCCTGATGGAGCAAAATCAATCATGGATACAGGCAAGACCAGACGTTGAAACAGTACATGGGGTGACAGGGTTCCTTTATTCATTCGGGGGATGAGGGCATCGCTGGCTAGGCCAGCATTTATTACCCATCAGGCAGTTATCAGTCAACCACATTGCAGTGGGTCGAGAATCACATGTAGGCCAGACAAGGTAAGGATTGTAGTTTCTCTCCCTCAAGGGTATTATTGAACCAGATGGTTTTGTTTCTCCTGACAATCGACAATGGATTCACGGTCATCATTAGATTCTTGATTCCAGATATTTATTGAATTCAAGTTCCACCATCTGCCATGGCAGGATTTGAACCCAGGTCCCCAGAACATTAGAGACAACAAGGTGCAGAGCTGGATGAACACAGCAGGCCAAGCAGCATCATAGGAGCAGAAAGGCTGACGTTTTGCGCCTAGACCCTTCTTCAGAAATGGGGGAGGGGAAGGGGGTTCTGAAATAAATAGGGAGAGAGGGGGAGGCGGATAGAGGATGGATAGAGGAGAGGATAGGTGAAGAGGAAACAGACAGGTCGAAGAGGCGGGGTTGGAGCCAGTAAAGGTGAGTGTAGGTGGGGAGTTAGGGATGGGATAGGTCAGTCCAGGGAGGACGGACAGGTCAAGGGGGTGGGATGAGGTTAGTGGTAGGAGATGGGGGTG